CGTCGGTACCTAGGTACCGTTACACGGTATGGGGGTACCGTGTAGGCGGTATACCCTACCGTGTGGCGTACCGCTAGAGGTACCGTGACTCTGTTCTGATTTTTCCAAAATTCCCTTAATCCTTCGTGTTTGAGTTTAAAACCTTTTAGATATTTTGAAAGTGTTTATGTGATGGTTTTAAACATATTTTGTGAGTGCTTTTGAGCTTGTGAATATAGGTATATAAAGTCATATCCTTACATTGGTTTCTACCTATATTCTACGCTAGTTTTAGTGTTTTGACTTCATTCTTGAGTACCGAATCTTAATGGATTCTTGTTTTCCTGAAACACTTAAACAAACGTTAAGCTCTTATATTGTTTGTTAACATCAAAACATGAGACTTAGCAAACCAAGGCTAACAATCTATTTATATATATTAGCTAGCTACAACATGGACCAACGAAACTGAAGTGATTATTGATTCTCACATTCTAATACACAAACAAATCATACATGAGAGAATCACCTCAAATCTGCATATATGTGTAGTTTATCCATGCTGCATGTATTATTAAACAAAAGGACGGTGGCCGCGTTACTATATGGAGTACTTGTTTAGAATTTTTATTACTTAATTAATTACTCCTATTTATAGGAGTTTAAGTTTGAGCTCCTATTTTGAGGATATGACATATGTTTTACTCCTATTTAGGGGGTTTTCTTATTTTTATTCTAACAAACTCAAAGAAGCGTGCACTCCGCATCACCAAAATTCTTTGATAATTATTAGGATACCATTGGTCATACTTTTTCCAATTACGCTAAAATATATAACACAATTCACTGTAAAAAAATGTACTCCCATTACTAAAATCTAACAATTAGTGAGATCTAAAAAAAGTTAGTAAATAAATTTCAAAACTAATACATACGGATTAAAAGTATATATTATGATGGAATACTTTAATCCATTAGTAAAATTAATGAGTGAAGAAACCTCTAATAAAAACCTTCAAAAGTTAATAGAATGTTATTTAATTTTTTTAAATGGAAATTAAAAATTCTATGCCACAATATTTTTTATCTACTACCAGAAGATACCATGCACATCTCGTTAACGCTTTAACGGCCAAACTGATCCAAATAGAGTTTGTTACACTCGATGGACAAATAAATGCTTTGGAACATCCTCTTCCAAAATATTTTACAGTGGAGTAAAAAATGTGTGGATGGATAACTAGGAATATTATGCCTCCAACCCTTAAAAAAGCTGACCTAAACTCCCATTCATAGTATGTTCAATTTAAAAATAAAAAATAAAAAAATTCCTCCAAAGACCATCTGAGAATGGCTTCATTTTGTCACCATTCAAGTAAATTCACCTTTATTTGGAGGTATAATTTGTAGTGTTTGAGAAACACTGGAAAAATTTACCCATGAACGTATTTTCCATGATTTGCATGAAAGTAACAACTACTATAAAAAAGACCTTTTACATCGGTTATATTAATACTTTTATATCGGTTTTGAACCAATGATGCAAATGCTTAGGTTACTTTTTGCATCGGTTGTTAAACCGATGCAAAATCCTCTTCCCAGAATGGAACCAATTCTGGAAATTCGAACCAATATATCTTTTCGATCATGATGGAGCCCAGGATCTCGGCACCCCTCTCCCTTACGGTCGAGTGACTCCCCCTTTCTTTCGAGGTACGAAGTCACTAGAGAATTCGTTGAACTATGTTCAACTCATTTAGTTCAACGAAATGAGTTTCACTATGTGAAACGAATCTCTGTCAACGAATTGTGAAACTCATTCGATCAAAGGGAGTCCCTCGAAGAGGAACAACCAAAGGGAGAGGGAAGCCCGCCAAACGACTGATGCCCAGCAAAAAGAAGCATTTGCATCAGTTATTTGGTAATAACCGATGCAAAAGATAGGCTTTTGCATCAGTTATTACCAAATAACTGATGCAAATGCCTCTTTCCAGAAATGGCGCCATTTTAGGAAGAGGCTTTTGCATCAGTTATTTGGTAATAACCGATGCAAAAGTCCCTTTCCCATTTCTGCGAAGAGGCATTTGTATCGCTTATTAGGTAATAACCGATGCAAAAGCCTCTTCCCAGAAATGGGAAAGGGGCTTTTGCATCGGTTACTACCAAATAACCGATGCAAAAAATAAATTTTTTAAAAAGGATTTTTTTTGTTTGCTCCCAATCTACTACATTTTCAATTTTGCACAAAATTCTATGCAAAATATACAGATTCAACAACAACAATAATTCAACCAATCAACACAACAACTAACACAAACCAACAACAAATACAAATACATTCACAAAACCCAAATGCCACAAAACAAATTAAACCAAAAAAGTAAACCATCACTTGCACATCTTAAAAAATATCAACATTTACAAACTACTCCCTCCGTCCCATAAAACATTTCCTGTTTCAAAAATGGCACGCCTTTAAAATGAGTAATTTTAGTGTTATTTTTTAATTATGATTAATCTATTCTACACATCTCATCCTACTCTTTTATAAAGTAAGGGAAAAATTAGAAAATAACACCAAAATTACTCATTTTAAGGGCGCACTTTTTTTGAAACAGGAAATGTTTTATGGGACGGAGGGAGTAAGTTTTAACACTATAACTAAGAGTCAAACAACTACACTCTTCTAACATAAATTTAATACTATACAATACAACACAAACTTACACTAGTTCATCAAGAAAACCCCCCCGCCTAAAACTCTCTAACCTCTTCTAATTCGGCTCTAGTATAAGGCGAAGTAGACTGAAACACCTGCAATACGAAAACAACATACAACATAAAGTTTAATAATTTATGAAAAAGAAAATGATGATAAACACTTCATTAATTTCAAAATCACACTAAAATAAACTTACATCGTATAACGGTAAAGAACATTGTGCACACATATTGACGATGAGCCATAAAAATTGCATGGTATAATAACCACACTCAACGCCCCCTAGTTGTTGGGGTACTTCGAGAACATCAATCCAATCCGGTCGAGCCTTAAGCTGAGGCATGTGCCGTTCCCGAAGTAACCGCCAAGACCTTTAATAAATGTAAAAAACAAATCAATAAGGTATTAATATCTTAACAAATAAAAAATTTCATTAATAAGAAAAAAATTTCTTAATACTTACTCGTTGACGAACGTCTTCACTTTCATATGCTTATGCCCTCCGGTCGCCTTGATTGAGTTTAGGAAATACACTTTGTTTTCAAACAAACGTATTACAACTAACACCCAATGAGGCCTACAATTGAAAAAGCGTTAGTCATTAACGTAAAATAAAAAACCGAAATCATATTGGAAATGGTTTAGAAAACATACGATTTCGATAGATACAACGACATAAGTATCTAGGGTCGCGATTGATAGGACTCGAGTGCTCTATCCAGATACTGGCGATCTCCAAAATCTACCACGTACGCCATGTTCTCCGGACATAACAACCCGACAGTCGTGATGCCGTGCTCCATCTTATGATCGTGCAACAATCTAGTAATTTCATTCGTAAATAATAATTACAATTATAACAAATAATTATAATTTACAATAGTAATTTATTCGTACGCAGTGCTTTGTTGAAACACGGGTTTATTGTTTTATCGTACTAAAGCTGTGTTTGTTTTTATGACAGGTTTTGATAATGCCAAACCGCCGTGAACGAGATAAAGTGTTGAATATACAAGGCGAGAAATGAAGATGAGAACAAGAGCTAAAAGAGACCAAGAACGAAGACCGTAGTTTTAGTGTCGTTGAGTCGGTCACAAATGTGATCAAGACCGACCCAAGCCTTACACTTTGGCTCTTTAGGCTAAAACATGTTTTATTGCATTCCTTATATCATCAAAATGATTTTCAAGCATGTTTAAACACTTTAAAAACACTTGGTGTTCGCCCAAACCAAAAACCAAGCCATCCGGCGTTCGGCTTTTAGAAATCGGCATTCAGTTTTCAGAAACCGGTGTTGGTTTTTGGCGTCCAAACCAACCAAGTAGTTTTCGACATTTTATGATTGGTTTTTACTTCTGGGAATTTTTAAATAGTTCTCTAACAAAAACACTTCAAAAACCACCTCTCGTTTTTGGTCGTTTGGCAAAAACTATGTGAAACGGCATAAACTTGGCTAGTCGTGGTTTTTACCTTAATGAAGTGGTTTTTAAGTTTGTATACTTGGTTTCTACATAAAATACATTAAATAAGCGTTTTAAACACTTGGCTTTTACTTTGGAGAACTTTGCTTTTTTCAGTCGGGTTTCAACGTTGGTCAGTTAGGCCATGGTTCTGGACTAGCCATCTACCCAGCGATGGTAGATATCACCCATCCATGGGTAAGTGATCTCGGGATTCCAGAACTGTGTCACCCAGCGATGGGAGATATTACCCATCAATGGGTAAGCAACCTTTAGCCCAATTGAATTCCAGAACCATGCCAAACAACGATGGGAAGTTCTACCCATCGCTGTTCAAGCCTTGGTCCAACATTATTACAAGGAAGAATGCCCTTACCCAGCGATGGGAACCTTTACCCATCGATGGGAACCCAGCGATGGGAGGGCATACCCATCGCTGGTTAGGCATGACCGTTGTAAGTCATTGAAGGATGATTCTTTCCTTGTTTGAAAGTCAACCTCCCACCCAGCGATGGGAAGCTTTTACCGATCGATGGGTAGGTGACCGTTGGCTTCAAAACTGAAGGAAAATTGGCTTACCAGCGATGGGTAAGTCCATACATCGCTGGGAAAGCCAATATCCTGTAGATCCACATTTTAATATCAATCCCATAAATCATGCCAATCACCCCTTTAATGCTTTGATCCGTTGAAGCCTATGTTGGAACTATAAAAAGGGATGTTTGGGTCTGCATTACACAACTAATTCACTTCACATTACACATATCATCATTGCATCCAAACAACATTATTTTCCATAGCTTTCTAGAGCCAATTTGTGAAGTTTGAGTTGTTCTTGAGCGTATATAGTTTACTCAACATCTACTCTTAAGGAGAGTCTTGTTTTTGAGTGTTCTTAGTGTTGTAAACACGTTTAGGGAAGCTTGTTTCCCTTGGTTGTACGAAGGAAAGGTATTTTCTTCAGGTTGAAGTCTTGGAGTACGGTATCTCAGAGCAAGTGTATTGAGGCTCGTGGGACTCGAGTTCTCAAGTTGTAACGGTTTGTTAAGCACCCGTAAGCTTAACAGAAGTAGTGTAGCTCGAGAGAGTCTCTCGGGAGACTAGACTAGCCAAACGTTGTGGTGAACCAGTATATAAATCTTGGTGTGTTACCTTTACTCCTTTTTATTCCGCTCTTTACTTTATCCCTGCGATTTTATTCCACGAAAATTTATAAACATTCTCGTGCCTCACTATTCACCCCCCCTCTAGTGAAGGGCACTTATTCCAACATGCTTGACATAAAACAATGATGATGGTCTGATCGACCTCCTCCCGTCGCATGAACTCACGTATATTCTTCGGACGCATCCTCAGCTTCATCTCCTCCGGATAGAGCATGCACTCGGGATCGAGAATGACGTTGATGGTGGGAAAAGCAGATGTGCGTGTCAGCCTGACACAACTCCCTGCACCTTGGCCCGAAAGAGACGTATGAGCTCCGGTCAACAACATCCAGTACGGGAGAGCTAGGAGAAGCAGTGGGGCATACGCCGAGAATATGACGAGATTTGCTTGATGAGAAGTCGCCATGTCGAGCCGTGTGCACCGGGGGCTACAAATATTTTCAAAAAAAAGATATCTGAAACACAGCCCAAATGATGTTGAATAAAAAAGAACAAAATTTATTTACTTCTTACATCTCCAAGGCCCACCAACGACTTTGGCCATGCAACGAAGCTCCCCTCGTGATCGGCCATAGTCTCTATATGCTCAGTCGGACAAGGAATGGTATATTCACCCATTCCAGGAAGCACAAGGGTCACAGAGACCTTAACCTTGTGCACGTGAGAAAACCGATCCATGTGCCACTATATAATTGGCTAGATCAGAGATCCTCAAGTAACAAACAGCAGCCTACAAAAAAATTAGTTAACTTGAAACCTAAATTAAAAAATATATGTACATCAGTGAGATCGGTGAAGGCAACAAAATCTGTAGACGCCTTGCTACTACGCTGCCCATAATGAGGTGCTACAGAAGGTGTGTGCTGCGACATGGATGCAAAGTCTGGAGCACCCCCGGACACAGATAGTCCATACTGCTACAAAGGGAAGGAAGACGCTGCAAAAGATCCTCCTCAGTCATATAGTTACCTCCGGGCTTACGAGTTTCATGTTGCCTTTGGAAACTTTGCGTAAGCCCGAATATGACCCAAAACCCCTCATCCGCCCCGGGTGCTCAGCAGTCCCTAAAGCTCTAGTCAGTACATCATTGTACAGTTAAGAAATATAAGAAGTAAAAAAATTGTAAGCAAATAATAAACAAGTAATAAAAAATATATTGACGTAATTGTAGATTATATGCTTACTATCCTATCACGAATCTCCATCAGTGCAGGGTCCGTAACTTCTACCTGCCTCTCTCAACCAAGAGTCCTCACGTCCGAGCTGAGAACCCGTCTCGGTAGACGAACCAGCGATATCAGCAGTAGTGGTGGCCTGAGAAGCAGCCAACTCACGCTGAAGCATGGCATATCCACCCCGGCCCATAATGTGCGGATTAGGATTCTTATTCTATATATCCCTGTTCTTCTCGCTCAAAGCCTAAAACAATTGTTTAAAATAAATTAATATATCATTTAATTTCATTCAAAGAACGTATTTATGTTTTACCTCAACTTCCTTGGTCTGGTTCTAGGTCTGAAACTCCTCCCAATGCTCTGGCTCTATGAAGCTGTAAAGATGAAAGGGAGTCTCACTGTAATGATCCCCACCTTCCGTCAAATACTGTCCTCGTAAATTTGTCCTGAAAGCGCGTAATCTTTCCACGCCAACCTTCATGACATGACGAACCCCACCGGGCGGTATCACATATATATCCTACAAGAAAATGAAGCAACAACTTATTATATATAGAACCATGTAACAATTAAAGGAAGCAGATAAGGATGCATAAAATGGTACGTACCCGAACCCCGTCTAGTACCGTGGCCTTCAGGTCTTTCGGGACATCATGCCAATTATTATAACTAATCGGCACTCTCGATCGAGCCTCAAACCCTACAAGCCCAGCAAACTCCGAAACATACGGTCCACGTACAGGCTCCCCACACTCCCACTTAAGCTCTATAGGCGGGTGACCCTCCCTCTTCCTCTTATACAGCTTCTCGCACTTCCCCGCATCTCTAACCTTTTTCTTCTTCTGTTCGTCTGCCATACCTGCACAAATTCAAAACAATCTAGATAACATAAGTATAATAAAAGTGAAACAACAATGAATTAAATGAAAATGATCAATATAAACAGAAAAAAATACCTAAAGCATTATTTTAACTTTTTCTTTACCCCATCTATCCACAATCCTTCTTCGTGATCTTCGCGAATGTATTTTGCTCCTATATCATCTACTTGTGAGTTTGACGAAATCATTGAGATATGAGTTGCTTCATCGTATAAACCGTCGTCCAACTCAACTGATTCCCTATTCCCTTGTCGAACAACAGACCAATTTTTATCTTTAGGATCAACAATGTAATAGATTTGCGTCGCTTGATAGGCCATTATAATTGGTTCCTCATGATGACCTAACTTCTGAAAATTCACTAATTTAAACCCCATGTCATCTGATTTAATCCCCTTGTTGATATCCACCCATTTACACCAGAAAGCAGGAATTGTGAAGTTTGTATATTCGAGTTCCCATATATCCTCGATCACGCCATAGTATGTTTTGTATGACTAGATCGCTAGAAGTATTCTCCTCACATATCGAACATGCATATTTTCCCTTAATCTTACAACCAGATAGGTTACCGTATGCTGGGCAGTCATTGATTGTCCAAAGAATCATAGCACGTAACGTGAAACACTCTTGACGATAAGCATCAAATACTGTGACACCTTGAATCCACATTTCCTTCAAGTCATCAATCATTGGGGCTAAGAATACATCAATGTCATTACCCGGTTGTTTAGGCCCAGGTATTAACAACGATAGCATGATGTAATTGCGCTTCATGCACAACTTTGGAGAAAGAGTGTAAATGACAAGCAGTACCGGCCAAGTACTATGTTGCGTACTCTAGCTTCCAAAAGGATTGATCCCGTAGTTCACAATCCCAATCGAAGGTTTCTCCCCTCGTTCCCAAACTCCGGAAATGTGTAGTCAATCATCTTCCACTGTGGGGCAGGATGACACAAGGTGCCATTATCTTTTCGTTGCTCTGTGTGCCACACTAGATTCTTAGCGTCCTTTATCGAAGCAAACAAACGCTTGAACCTTGGTATTATTGCAAGGTACCACAAAACCTTAACTGGAGTCTTTTTGGTTTTTTTCATATTTTCCTTGTTATGAGTCATTTTGGTTGACACCTTGTATCTTGGAGCAAAACACTTGGGACATTCGTTGAGATCCTTGAACTCATTTCGATATAAAATGCAATCATTAACACAAACATGTATCTTCTTGTACCCCTCACCCATATGAGACATCATTTTCTTTGCCTCATAAATGGAGGATGGCAATTCGTGTCCATCTGGAAGAAGTTCACCCAACAAACTTAGTAAAGATGTGAAACTTTTGTCACTCCACCCATTTGCTACTTTTAAATTGAACAACTCCAAAACCCCTTTTAAACGTGTAAACTTTGTACAACCAGGATACAACAGGCGTTTTGAGCTTCCTACTATGCTCCCATACATATTACGTTCTTCATCAATGACAACTTGATCAAGAGGAACATCTTGAGTCGCCCCTAACTCATCTTCCATTTCAACCTCAAAATTGTGGATGTCGTGAATATCATTCTCGACTTGTTCATTATGAGTATAGCTAGAGCTGCAAGGATTTTCTAACTCTCCATGCCATTTCCATCGCATGTATGTTGGGTCAAAACCCTTGCGATACACATGTAATCTTATATCTTTAACGCTATCAACCATAAAATGGTTGTGACATAAGTTACAAGGACAATATATCTTTTTTCCTTCTTTTGAATGTTTCTATGCGAAACGAATAAACTCTTCCAAACTAGAACTGAACTCAGGTGATGTACGCGTAATATGAATCCAACTTCTATCCATCATATGAATTGCTAAACAAGAAAGAAGGGCAAATGATTGATTCATGCAAAATAATGCACCACAAAATTATCAACACTCATTTTATATATACAAACAAACATATAAGAAATACAGGCAACACAATATTTTATTTCTTATGATGTAACAAAAATCCGGCAGCACTTCTTCATTATACAAATGGTCCTTCTTTACATCATCCTAACCCATTCTTGAAATGCCACCCTCACTAGTAAATGTATTTCATTTTCTTTGGCCTATCAAAATTTTGACAGCATTTCCCAATGGTTCTCCAAGTGCACGATGTAACGTAATTACATATGCACCCGAAGAACACATTTAGGAAACGTTAAACCAAAAAATGACAGAACAATGAGAAAGAAATACACTCACTACCTAAGTGAGAGAAGCATTTCAAGAACAGCTCCAAACTGGGAGCTATTTAAAATTTACTCCTAATGAGTAAATTTTAAACAGGTATCTAGGTCGGTCAATATATGTCATTTCTATATTATAACATCTCAGATAATGTAGAATCAAACAAAAAGTAATTAAACAATCTACATTTCAAACGCAATCTATATCACAATGTCACATTTCAACTTAAACATAAACACAAAAACAATTCAAATATATAGTAAATTAAATATTAACTTAATGCAAAAATATATAAAAAATAATAGTATAATTAAATATTTCAAGTTCAAAAAATTAAAGAAAATACCTTAAAGAAGGCGAGCAAGGCACGGCGTGGGGTAGAGGAGGCGAGGGAAAACGACACGAGAGAAGGGGCCCAGGGCACGGGGCGGGGCAGTAGGGCACGGCGAGGTTGGCAACGGAAAAGGACACGACGAGGTTGGCAATGGCGAGGCTAGGCAACGGAAACGGTGAGGGGAGGATAGGCAACGGCAAGTCAAAAGTGGACGACGACGAAGTGGATGACGCCGTGGGGAGGCATCGCCAAGGGCGACAACGGCGAAGTGGACGACGGCGTGGAGAGGCAACGCCAAGGGCGAGGCAAGGCAATGACAAGGTGACGGTGACAGAAGAATGGCAAAGCTTAGAGGTTTGAGGTGATGGCAAAGCTTGGAGGTTTTTTTTCAAAATCGCGTAAGGATAAGATATTGGAGGCTGAATATAACAGACCATTTTGAATCAATTATTCCTAATAACCGATGCAAAAGGGTATTTGCATCGGTTATTAGGAATAACCGATTCAAAAGGTTTTTAACATTTGAATCGGTTATTCCTAATAACCGATGCAAATACCCTTTTGCGTCGGTTATTAGGAATAACTGATTCAAATGAGTAGCGGTACACGAATTTTTTTCCTTTTAAATTGTTTATTTTGCTAACCGATCCAAATGTAGGATTTATTTGGTCCTTTTTGTAGTAGTGAAAATACATACAGTACGGTTTTTACTTAGAACACACTATTGTCTTTTACTCCCTCCGTCCCAAAATATTTACAATATTTGCTTTTTCAGCAGTCGCAGGAACTTTTGTTTATTTCTACGTTTTTATTAGTTATTTGATACAATAAAATATTATTGACATCTCTTATTTTGAAGAACTTTTCATGTAGTTTTTTGATATGTAAATTTTATTTTTTATTTGTATACCAATATGTAAATAAAATGAATTGAAAAAACTTGATATTTTACCCTAGAAATACAAGTGTGGCAAATATTTACGCTGTGTTTGGTTGGAGGCAGGTGAAGGTAGGGTGAGGTGAGATTTAGAAGCTACCTCGTTTGGGGAATCAAATCGGGGAGGTAGATGAAGGTAGAGGGAGGTAGCCTAGCCGCGTAACAATGAAAAAAATCCGCCCGCCGGTTCTTCGGTAACTCAAGGTAAGTTTTGTGTTTCCCTTCCCAGTCCTCTTTCTTTCTTCTTCTTCCCCCTCCTCCTCGGATCTCACTTCTTCCCTTTTTTGCGACTGTTTCTTCTCAGATTTGGACTGTTTCTTTTCTGGGATTTCTTGAGACTTTTTTTGTGACTGTTTCTTTCTTTTGGGATTTCTTTTGCTTTCAATCTTTTTCTTTTTTTGCTTTCAATCGTTTTCATTTTCTTTTCCTGTATCTTTTTGTTTTTTTTGTTTATGGTTTTCCATTTTTTATGCTTATGTTTTTGTTGTTTTCTTCTGTTTTATTTTTCTTTTTTTTTTTCTGTTTTATTTTTTCTGTTTTACTTTTCAGATTTTTTCCATTTTTTCTGTTTTGTTTTCAGTTTCTTTGTTTTAAAACTTATTTTTTTCTGTTTTTGTAATTGATGATCGCTGGAGAAGCAAAGAAACCAAATTATTTAGGGGTATTTAGGTAGTTTTTGTGTTCGTTACCTTACATTACCTAATAAATATCCAAACACAATTTGTTAATTTCTTACCTTGCTTTACCTACCTTACTTTACATACGTTCAATTACCTACCTAATAAAACTTTACCTACCTCCTACCAAACACACCCTTAGGGACGAAGGGAGTAGGTTACTTAAATGTTGTTGTTAGTTTAAAACACATGCATCTATTGGGAAAAATCTAAGACATAGAATAGCTGTTACCAAGATCCAAAGCATTATTAGATTTAATGCCACAAGATTTCCACAGATACTGCGGTATAAAAAGTATTTGTATCAAATAAAAATTTGCTACAAGAAATATGGATTATGTGGCTATTTCTGATTTGCCACAAATAAAACTTTGCTCCAAAAACTCTTGTTTAGTAGCAAATTTGAATCGCTACAAATATTTTTTTGCTACAAAAACTCATGTTTAGTAACAAATATGTTTGCCACAAATAATACATTGTCACAAAAACTGATGTTTAGTAGCAAATTTTAATTGCTATTATTAATATCCCATTGAGACAAACTAAATGCTACTGATAACTTGCATTTTTTACTACATTTTTTTAATATTACTTTTTTATGGAGAGAAAAATGGAGCTTTTATTAAATCAAGAAAAATAGAGTACAATTAGGGCTCAAACTAGTGAAATCTAACAGATCAGAGGTACTTAATTATACAAGTACTCTAGAAAATTACATATATCCTCTCTAAAATGTTGTAAAGCCCAAGCTACATCGGTCATGTACACGCTTTATTAAGCTAACGCCATGGAAATATTCATGGATTTGATGAATAACATCATCCGCTCATATTTGGATCGATTCGTTGTAGTCTTCGTTGAAGACATATTGGTGTATCTTAAGACACCAGAAGAACAGGCCAGACACCTACAAACTGAACTTAACGTGTTGAGAGAACACAAACTCTACGCCAAGTTGTCTAGGTGTGAATTTTGGCTCAATGAAGTCACATTCTTGGGACATGTGATTTCAATGAAGGAATCAAGGTAGATCCTAACAAGATTTCTGCCATCACGGAGTGGAAGACTCGAGGAATGCACGAGAGGTGAGGAGCTTTCTCCGCTTAGCTGGTTATTACCAGCATTTTGTAGAAGGTTTCTCCTCTATTGCCTCCCCATTGAACAAGCTACTCAGAAAAGACGTAAAATTCGTATGGTTTGACGCGTGTCAATAGATCTTTGATTGACTCAAGAAGTGTTTGACCGAGGCACCAGTGCTTGGTTGTGTGCTTATGCAGGAGGGTAAGGTCGTTTCCTATGCCTCCTGACAGTTTAAACCACATGAAGGTAACTACCCTATTCATGATTTGGAATTAGCAGTTGTTCTTTTTTGCATTGAAGATTTGGTACCATCACTTGTTTGGTGAGACTACTCACATCCACACTGACCACAAGAGTTTGAAGTATTTATTGACATAAAAGGATCTTAACTTAAGACAACAGATATGACTAGAGTTAATCAAGGACTATGATTGCTATATCGACTATCATCTAGAAAAGAAGAACGTGGTGGCTGACGCTTTGAGCCAAAAGACGATGGCAGAACTGCGACTTCACCCTACCATGGAAAGTGAAATACGCACAGCTCAGAAAGAGGATTATTTTTGTGTGAAGACTTATGAGCTTTTCTATAAGAGGGAGAGATAAGACTTCACCCCCAACGAAAGTGGCACTTTGTTTTATCAGGATCGCCTAGGGGTGCTGAACATTGAAGTTAGTGTGTGCTTAATACATGAAGCTCACGGAACTGTGTACACAATGCATCCAGATAGTAACAAGACGTATGAGGATCGCAATAAGACTTATTGATGGCGACCATGAAATGGGAAATTTACAAGTTTACCGCTAGATGTTTTACTTATCAGCAAGTCAAAGGTAGAGTATCAAGTGCCAAGCAGATTGTTGCATCCACCAGTCATTCTAGAGTGGAAATGGGAAAATATCACGATAGGCTTTGTGATAGAGCTACCTTTTTCGAGCAAGAAGAATGAAGCCTTTTGGGTTATTATGGACCAGTTGACGAAGTCAACCCATTTTTTACCTACTAGACGAGACTTTTCCTTGTAGAAGTTAGCTGAACCTTATATCCGTGAGATCGTTAGACTGCAAGGTGTGCCCATATCCATCATCTTAGATCGCGACCAATAATTTAAATTTCAATTTTGAAGAGCGAGCAGAAGGCGCTTGGTACTAAACTCAATTTTGGTATGGCATTTCACGCTCACACGGATGGTCAATCTTAGAGGACTATCCAAATCTTGGAAGATATGATTAGAGCCTGCATCATCGACTTTGGAGATAGTTGGGAGTGACATATACCATTGATGGAATTTGCTTACAAAATAGTTATCAAGCTAGCATACAGATAGCACCGTACGAGGAACTATACTAAAGACATTGTAGAACCCTGGTCTGTTGGATTAAGTTAAGCGAACCAAGCTCGAAGGACCCGATCCTATTCGTGAAGCTGAAGAGAATGTTCGGTTGATTTGTGACTTGTTGTAGATTGCTTCAGATAATCTAAAGTCCTACACAAACCTTAAGCATCGAGAGATCGAGTATAGTGTTGAAGACCTTGTGTTCCTGAAGGTCTCTTCTTAGAAAAAGGTTTTGAGATTTGGCAAGAAAGGCAATCTAAGCCCTAGGTTCATCGGACCCTATCGAGTTATCCAGTGAGTAGGACTAGTAGCCTACCGACTGGAGCTACCTCCACTGTTGAGCAAGGATCAGTAGCCTACCGTCTCATGTCCTACTCGAGGGAGAAGTCACCCTTGATGAGAACCTCACTTATGAAGAAGAACCTTTTCAGATCTTAACACGCGAGGTAAAGGAACTGAGGAATAAATCTGTTTCCTTGGTAAAGGTGCTTTGGCGATACCACGACATGGAAGAAGGAACTTGAGAGACCGAGGAATCCATGCAAGCTCAGTATCCTCATATCTTCACTCACCAATGACTAAGGTAATTTCAAGGATGAAATTATTTTAAGGGGGAGAGAAATGTAACGCCTCGAAACCCAACCTATCAGAATTATTTAATTAAGAATAATTAATTAATTATTGAGACGGACTTGGATTTTATTTTAATTATTCATTAATAAAGTATAAAAATTGTATCGTTGTGTAGGGTTTGATGAGACGAATCCGATGGTGCAAATAGATTTGAATTCTGAGTAAGTTGGCCTGAAAATGGTATTTTAATCGAGTTACGTTATTTAATTATGGAGCCCAAAACCCCAAACCTATAAATACACCCGCACTTGCCTAAAACCCTTCCCATACGCCGTAACTCTCTCTCTCTCTCTCTCTCTCTCTCTATCGTTCTTCGACCGAAACAGAGCAAGGTGCAGTGAGGGAGAACAGCGCACAAAAGAAGAAGAAGAAGAGAATTGAAGCTGCCGTTACCATGTCATCATCACCGCTTGTAGGTCAATTCGTTCTCTGTAGTTTCTTTGTCAAATTCGAGGTGAGTATGTGAACATCTAAACTAGGTTATATCTATAGGTTTGAATCCTATGTTTGTAGAATCATTATGGTTGATCTACGTAAAACCCTAGTTGAAATAGTTCGTTTGTTTTATGTTTGATTTGTTAGGTAAAATGCATGATTTGTTACGATTATAATCAAGGTAAGGTTGCACAAAGTTGAGAACTGATTTAGGAATATACTTATGCTAAAAGTTTCAAGTTTGGATTTTGGTTTTGATGTAAAAAAAGAATTGGTGCGTATAGCGAGGTACCTTCGCATCAGATTGTAGCGAGGTTACTTCGTATCAGACGGTAACAAGGTAGCGTCTGAGGCCTCTGTTACTGTCAAAACCTGCGACTGTTGGTACCTAGGTATCAGATAGACAATAGGCCCTACCACCACGACGATAGCTAGCTATAATAACGATTTAAACAATCTTTGGGGCCTATTATTCTTAATATAATATAGGAATGGAATCATACGTTGGCCTCTAAGGCTCACTTATATTCAACACATACTCGATTGCCAGACTTTCATGTCAGATCTATTGGTGTGATTATATTACATGAGTCATACATACCAAGGTGTGGACATAAACATGTCAAACAACTTGGTACTTTTTTCGTCTAAGTTTTAATAAAATAAACATTGAACCAAAGATTTTTAACACCAAAATCAATAACAACAAACTTACAAACAAAAAGAACTTGTTCAAAGATCATACGAGGAAATGTTCACACAACAGACATTCACCAAATATATAGTGATAAGATGAGCACATACATTGCTACAAGTTCTCACACACGGAACTTAATTGTTAAACACAATCCAAATTGATCATTCGGGTTCTTGCACTCAAGTAGCAAAAACAAAACACAAACATAGAATTATAAGGAAACATGACTTAGAATATGATGATGCTCGCATGAACACATACATTACTCCCATGCACGAACTAATGTTGTTCACGGTGGAGAAGCACAACGTGCAGGGTTGTTATCCGCGACAACACTAAAAGGAAAAAGAATCATTGTACTGAGTAAGCAAAATCAGGAAACTGAAAGTTGCATGGGTGATATCTATATGTAGAAAATATAGATTCAATTTGAATAAAATGTAATTTATTTTATAAATAAAAACATGTGTATTAAAATTAATGCACTAAGAAAGAAAAGAGAAAGAGCGAAACACACTGGAAAAGAGAGTACCTAGGATCGGAAATGGGATTCCGTGTCACATCTAGACAGTTGCTTGACAAATTTCTGTGTAATGGAGATGAATATACATTACTACTAGAGTACTTAAATTAGTGCACTTAGCTTATTGTAAAATAGGAAGTAAGAAGATTACTACTGCTTGTGTTTTTTAGCATTTGTCCAGTTTTTAAAATTTTGATATTACATATTGATACAAATATAGTTTTATTTATAAAATATTTTTTAGGTATTATTTTATCTCATTCATATACAATATAGTTCTTATATAATTACAGCTCAAAGGTTGATCTTGGTTGACTTTATAAAATCAAAACTGGACAAATATTTTGGGAAGGAGATCGTATAAATAATGCTCCATCGCCCTTAAAAAAGCACTACTATGCTTGTAACACCAAGGTTGGGTGTCATTGGACCTTGAAGATCTTACCCCCAAACCATTGGGTGGATGAAGGCTACAAACAATTTTGTGGTACAACAAAGCATAGTAGGGGATCGTCTCAAATAGCCGGGGACATACATAAAAGGAAAAGGCATGAGCCTCATCCCAAAGGCACCCTCAGATCCAATCAGACGGTTATTTAGAGTATGTAAATTGGATTTTAATCAAAGATTGGTGACTTGAATTGACCCTAGATCTGATACTTGTAGAGGCCTTATGCTTAGCATAATTTTTTTCCCAATGCAGCTACCAAAGAATCGAACTTAGGTCTACCCCTTTGCACTCACTGCCTTTACAAACCGCGCAACGCCTAATGGTGACATACATAACACTAGTGGATCCATATTCTAACTACTTAGCTCACCACGTTCATTTTTTTAAAAATATATAATGTAAAAATTAAAAAAGTTCTTGTAAATTAAAAGTCTGCACCAGCCTAGTAAAAATTTTAAGTTGGTGGTAAAAAATAATTATTCCAAAATAAAAAGTTCTTTTAAATTTTTACTTTTCAACTCTAATTGTGTTTAACATCAATTTGCAGCAAGAAAATAGTGTGTAATATGAACTCAACAATTTGTTCTTCAGCCTCCGATGATATACATTTCGGTCAGGTTCGTTCTAAAATTGAGTATTTATAAGTCATGCCTTTGGTCCTCATTTTTTTCCATTTCGGTTTTTGGTCGAATCTAGTTTTGAACCGATGAACAGCCCTGCTGCAAGATGTGCACCTGTATCTGAACTAAATTTTTTTAAAATCGAACATTTTGTATGTTTATCGCTCTAAGTATATCGCATTTGAAAAATTATTTTTTTAATGTATAAATATATATTTTTAATAGTCAAATTTTTGCATTGTTGATTACAAAAAGTCAAATTTTAAAATACAAAATAAAAATAAGACTAAAAACACATTTATGCATAGGGTCTTTCTAACAAGACCGACTATGATGCACTGGGAAGTTTGCTACTGTTGGAATCTCAAAATCACATACTATCCATGCATTAGTGCATTTGCAATCGGGGATGAGTATGGGAGCCACGCCGCTGGGAGAAGTAGTACGAGAGGGCGATGACATTGTAGGAAGGGAGGCTGCATCGAGTGCCGCGGGCCAGATGCCAGGCTTGGTCTGCGGTGAGATGGCAGTGACAACGTCCATTGCAGACAGTCTACCACACCGGTTTTATATTTTTAATTTTTTTTTAAAATTCAACTTATAAGCTCTCTTCTCACTCAATTCACTCTCATCTCACTTGCAAGAATTAATCTAGGTGGCGATAACTTCCTATTCGAGCAAACTCACATTGATACACGGTGATGAGATATGCCCACTCTATTAGTTTTAACAATAATCTGTAGGGGCACATATGGGCGACGACTCTGTCCCGCTCTTGGGGTCGAACAATATCCCCTACAAACCATCTGCCTTTAATACAAATGACTACCATATTTCTGAGTTGCAGACTTGGAGCCCATCACTGAGCGCCAGAGAAAGGGGAAGGCCAAAAAGAATGACGGACCAAAAATGTATACCTTGGTGTAAAGTTTATTTGACATTGACGAAGTTCTACGTTGTTAGAAAACATTTTCACATTGATGTTTTGACAATGCTTGTTTCCGTTTAGGTTTTGATATTGACAAAATGAAAAGATTCAAAGTCATAAAAAAATCTCTTTGAAGGAACAAAAAGTACAAGAAAGGCATTGTCGTTTCTAAAGACGACGAGATTGGCGTTTTGAAGACCTTGTATAAAGACTTAGGTTTTTATTGTAACAAGCTCATTCAATTTCTCTACGCCATGGCTCAAAACAAAATATGTTTTTCATGTATCAAATTAGTTTTTCATAAATGGTTTTAATGTTCTAAAACCCCTGGTTCTTTCCCAACCAAAACCATAATCATCGGTTATCGGCGTTCAACTATGGCGTTCGGTTTTCGGCATTGGTTATTGGCATTGATTTTAGCCAAATGGTTTTTGGGGTTTTATCTTTGGTTTTTGATTCTAAACAAATTTAAAGGTTTTCTAAATGATTAGTTTTCAAAAACCATAACCCTTGTTTTCCGGCGTTGGTTATCGGCATTCGGCGTTGGTTATCGGCGTTGGTTTTTGGCGTCCAAATCAATGAGTTGGTTTTTAATATTTTATGATTGGTTTTTACTTCTAGGCATATCCAAATGGTTCTCCAATCAACACATCATGAAAACCACCTTTTGGCTTTGTCTTTTGGTAAAAATCACCCGTGTATGGCTTTGACTTGGTCTACCATGGTTTTTACCTTAACGACGTGGTTTTCAACATACAAAGTTTGTTTTGACATCAAAATACATGAAATAAGTGTTTTAAACATTTGGTTTTTATTTTGGAGAACTTCACATTTTATCGGTCGGGTTTCAGCATCGGTCGGCTAGGCCATGGTTCAGGCAAAAACCATAGGTTTTTGGACCAGCCATCAACCCAGCGATGGGAGATATTACCCATCGATGGGTAAGTTGTCCTTTAGCTCAGCTAGATTCCAGAACCATGTCACACAGCGATGGGGAGTTCCACCCATCGCTGTACAAGCCTTGGTTTAACATTAACACAAGGCAGAATGCCCTCACCCAGCGATGGGGACTTGGACACATCGCTGGGTACCCAGCAATGGGAGGGTATACCCATCACTGGTTAGGCGTGACCGTTGTAAGGCATTTAAGCCTGATTCTTTCCTTGTTTGAAAGTCAACCTCCCACCCAACGATGTGAAGTGCTTACCCATCGATGGGTAGGTGACCGTTGTCTTTAAAACTGAACGAAAAATGGCTTACCACAGATCCATGCACTTTTATTTGATTTCCACAAATCTTGCCATTAAACCCAAATCAACTCTCATTCATTAGACATCATTTTTTGGGTATAAATAGGGGTCTTTTGGGTCTACTTTTCACAATCATTCCTCACACAATTTAGAGCCATTTCTTGAGGATTTGAGTGTGTTCTTGATCTAAATTAGTTTACTTATATTCTACTCTTTAAGAGAGTTTTTTGTTTTTGAGTGGTTAATGTTGCGAACACTTTAAGGGAGGTTTGCTCCCTTGGTTGTACGAAGGAAGGGCATATTCCTTCAAGTTGAAGTCTTGGAGTGCGGTATCTCCGAGCAAGTGCATTGAGGCTCGTGGGACTCGAGAGGCTGGACTAGCCACACGTTGTGGTGCACCAGGGTAAAATCGGTGTGTTCTTTCCTTACGCTTCTTTATTCCGCTCTTTACTTTATCCCTGCGATTTTTATTACGTGAAAATTTATAAACATTCTCGTGCCTCACTATTCACCAACCCTCTAGTGAAGGACACTTATTCTAATATACGTTGATGTGTCGGAGGATGTCATCATCGGGAACTTCAAAAAACACAAAATACTTTTGGAGGGTGTTGCAAAGAAGTACAACACTGGAAGGCCCAATAGTACTGCCAAACTTGACAGGGATAAGCTTCAGAAACACTGGAGCCATGTGTATAAGGATGTCCAAGTGTTCGTTCGCGTATATGCCAATGTCTAGAACACGTAGCCTAGTGGGAGAAACGCCGGTGACATTTTCTCTAATGTGAAGGACCTCTTTTTCCAAGTGGAAAAGAAAGTTTTTAAGTTTTTGGATGTCTAGAACCTTCTACACAGGATCCCTGAATTTAGTGTTGGGGCCGAGGATGGTAGGTCGATGCCAAAGATAAGCGAACTCTTCAATACTGGTTTGTACTCGACGAGCAAGGATGGAAAGTCCATCGATCACAACGCATCAGGGGATGACTTCAACACTCTTGGGGACGAATCCAATAGTCAAAGCCGTCCGATTAAACCCATGTGAGAAAGAAGGCAAAGGAAAAGATGAAGGCTCTCAGTATGCCACCCCCACCCCCATAAAAGTAGGTATTGGACAAAATGTATACTTCCATTAACAAAATAACCGTCACTTTTAATATCAGCCATCCCAGAGAAATTATTAAAGAGGATACGTCGATGATATTAAAGAAGGAGCTCAAGATACGTATTGACATAATTAATGTGATCCACGCCATAATCAGAGGATGAAAGTACCAGTGTTTTTTTAATCTTAAAATTTCTAAGCACTCTATTTTTTAGTATTTTTAATTTTAATTTAACTTCTAAGTATATTTTTAGTATTTTTAGTTTAAATTTTATTTTTAATCAAGTGAGTTTTCCATTTTTTGTTATTGTGATTTTTTGTATTTGTTGAGATTTGATCAAAAAAAGAAAAAAAAAACAAAGAACAAAGAAAAAAGAAGCAAGTGGAAAACAAAGGTAGCAACAAGTGATTTTTATCCTCTTGCAGGTGGATTGCTTGCCAAAGCCAATGCAAGGAAATTGACATCTTCCCTTTGCGATTAATTGTGTTCTCATGGTTGTGTGTGCATGGGTTTTACACCCCACTAAGGTAGGGAGAGAAACAAAGAGGATTCTACACAATACCACCGGGAAAATCCAACGGGTGTTGGTGAGTGGGAGTGAGTGTAGGGAGTAAATGGTATTTAGTTATTCGGAAAATTACCTTCGAGCATTGGGTGTGGAAAGGTCTGTTTATAAGTGTAGCCTTGTAATCGGGGGAAAGTTTTTTTGTA